AAGGCAGGATGAACCATAGGTTGAACATTATGTGGCTGGGTCGGTGTCCCAGTACCCCCACTTGAAGCTTTATGTGATTACAGAAGATGGATGGTTTAGGCTCTGTGTCTCTGGTTACTAAGAGTCTTTGCTAGGGTTACTCTAGTCTGACGTGGAAACCTAGGTCAATGAAACTCCATGTTTTTGGAATTTCTTCAGCTCTCATGACCAAGAAGAGAGGTTTCCCATGCTTAGCTCTGGGATTAAGATAGTCTAAGTTTCTTGGGGTAAACAATGTCACGCTAAGTGGCATGATTTTGTTTAAACTCACCCCCTCTCTCTACACACACAAACACACATACACACACACACATATACACACACATACTCAAAAATTATCTCTATGTGAATATCTGTAAATGCATATGTACATTTACATATAAATATTATCATAAATATTGTGTTTCCTTATGGCTTTTCAACATACTTTGTCTTATTTATCCATTTCCTTCCCTCTTCCTTATCCTCCCTTGCCTCTTCACAGTTAAGCCCATCACCAATTTTCCCACTTTCCCCTTCATAACAACCATGTCCTACTATGCCATCTCTAGAGCTCCTTAGTCACCCTCCTTCCTAATTAACATGGCCACTTTTTTTCCTTTTTCCTTTACTGGTTTCTGTGGCCATTCCAGGTTATATATCCATTTGTAAAAAACTGAGAAGTAGAATCTATGAATAAGATATGTATAACTCTCAGAGTTCTCTTGAGAATTCAAAGACGAGGTGTAGAACATGAGTTGTGAAGCTAAAGGAAAATATTTTTAAGCTCACTAAGTGTGGCTGCCTTATCCTTTTCCTTCTTTGTGGCCAACTTAAAACATGGACTTTCATAGGTCTATTAACATTGTGATTATGATTATTAGGAATATTGGGTTCCTATATCAAACTCTGTATCATTAGTTCATGAAAATACTCTTATTTCCCACTTAAAAAAAACTTATTTGATAAAGTTCAACTAGATTTTCAAATAACTTTAGAATCATCTTTGTGTTGAGCCATTATAATGGATGGAAAAAAAACATGAATTAAATGTACTTAAAGCGTACATTTAGCATTTATTGAATATTGTGGGTAATCTTACATAAAATATTTGTTTAGATTTTTACCTTTCTGGAACCCAGAGTTTACATATTCCAGTAGTTTGAATGAAAACTGCTCCCCCAATAGGCTTGAATATTGTAACACTTGATCCCCAGTGGCTGGTGCTCTTCAGGGAAGATTCAAGGCTGTGTCACACTGCTAGAGGAAAAATGCCAATATGGGTGAGCTTTTAGAGTTTAAATCCTCCTCTGCTTCCAGTTAGCTTTCTGCTTCATACGTGTGTTTAAGGTGTGAGCTATCAACTTCCTGCTCTAGCTGCCATGCTTGCTGCTTGAAGGCATCCTTGCTTGCCATGTTGGGCTCATCTTTCTGGACCCATAATTCCAACACAACTTTTCCTTCTATAAGTTGTTTCCTTCGTGGGTGTTTATTACTGAAACAAAGCAGTAACCAATGTACATGCAATGTTAATTTTAAACAATTTTATTTAAAATTTTATACCTAAGGTACATTGTTTTTACCACTGTTACCAGGGAACCAGAGCCTCATAAAAATGTCCTGTGTCATTACCTCACTCTCCCCTTCTACCCAGAACCCTGACAATGTATCTTTGGTTATTCATTGTGGTATCTTTTTCATTAACAACAATTTGCTTACAGTACTTAAAACTACTGGTCCCTTGGTATTATCTACTTCTTATAGTAACAGTTTTATCAGTTTATTTATTTATTTTTATTTTATGTGCACTGGTATTTTGCCTACATGTATGTTTGTGTGAGGGGGCTGAATTCGCTGGAAATGGAGTTACAGACAGTTGTGAGCTGCCATATGGTGCTGGGAATTGAACCCTGGTCCTCTGAAAGAGTAACCAGTGCTCTTAACTGCTGAGCCATCTCTCCAGACACAGCGCTGTCACTTTTATTTACTTTTTCATTGCTTCATTAATTAAATGCAATTTTCAACAGTTCATAGCAAAATAATGACCCTTACTTTGAAATGCTATGTACATAAATGTCCATGCTGCAGTTCACATATTCTCAATGCTTCATTATGTTAAAATGTCTTCTCTGTTAGCTTACTAGATACTGTTAATAGGCTCAGTGTCACCTTTTTTCTTTTAAATTTATATATTTGGTTCCTGAAAGCACTGGGATGAATACATCTCCAATAGTGAAATTTAATGTTTGCAGAGTTGTTTGGATTTTCTGTAGAAGAATGTGGAACATGACATTTCAATTTACTGATGTTTAAAATATGTCAAATGTTAGAAGGAAGTTGGACTGCAGTATTTGAGAGAATTTTCTCATGTAGTGGTTACAAGCACTTTGGAGTGAAATTGCCTGATTCAGTCTCTCTGTGCTTTGTGTTATTTGTGTGATTCTAGATAAGTTGATTTACGTTTTTTTTTTTTTTTTTTTTTTTTTTTTTTTTTTTTTTTTTTTTTTTTTTTTTGGCTTGGTACCTGTATACAATGAATTCAGAATGAAAGTATGTCATTACAATGTCCCTATTGAGGGTAGGCCAAGATTAACAACATCAAAATAAGATTGCAGGGTGGATACGATTAGCTCATTGCTAGGAAAGGGCATCTTTAAGTAATAATAATTGTTGCTTTTATCATTAAAATGTTTACAATGAGGCTGGAGACACAGTGAAGAAGTTAAGAATACCTGCTACATATTCAGAGGACTGGAGTTTGGTTCTCAGCACTCACAGCTCTTAGCTTCCAACCACTTAAAGTTCTAGCTCCAGAAGGAGCTGATTCTTTCTTCTGGCCTTTATAGGCTCTCACAGGAAGTACACACACACACACACACACACACACACACACACACACACACACACACAAATAAGTAAATCTTTAAAATATTTAATGATATAAGAGACCCAGTTTGCTAATTTTTGAAGACTAGAAATATCTTGAAACACATTAACATCTGTAATTTATACTAATTTCTGTAAAATTTAAATGTACAACATTTTAGAAATGAGTACCAAACATGTTTTTGCTTAGAAGCACAGGACTGGTATAATTACAAAAAATAGGAAAACTAGATTGATTAGTTTTTGATTGGGAGTATTATATTTCAATTTGTACATTTCCAATTGGTTTACCAGCCAGACACTCATAGGAGAGGTTCTTCAATCCTATGATTTTAAATGCTATGTCATAAAATAATGTACTAAGATGAATAAAGGGCTTCTGTTCATATGATTAATCATGGTCATATAGTTTTCTTTTGAATTTGAGTGGGACCTTTAATGTAATAGTTAATATTTACAATATTGCTATTACACATTATTTTTAATATCTTAACATTTGCTTCTAATTTACTCATTCCTTCATTTTTTTCTTTTCTCATAATATATGTGCCTTCCCTAGCTTCATTGTTATGTAAACCACCAAAGTGAAAAAATATACAGGCTTATAATGCCAGTGGACTTTAAGCATAGTGATTTCTTGTCACTGAGGAGGGGGCAGAGACTGAGGACTAAGGGGTCATGGGGGAGAGCACCACCAACTCTATAAACCCTTTCTAAAAAGTGAGACAAAAAGAATAGTGTATGCATTATGAACCAAACAACAATGAGATCATTGAAATCAGAATAATCCTATTCAGAAAGCTTGATTTATCCTTGTGACACTTTCTCTCTACATCCTATTGTCCACATTAGTAGTGCATTTCATTTCAAAGAGTAGAAAACCCAAGACAGCTAGTTTACTTTTTATTTATAATGAGATATTCAGAAATAGGCACTCTTGCTAGTTCAGCTGCTCAAAGAAGGCATTAGAATCCAACTCCTGCCTGTTTTTGCCTTTTTAAAACATATGCTTTTTTTCCTTAAGAATTAGAAATGGCTACCTTAGGCTCAGGCATCATCCCAGTTTTAAGCTGAAAAAAACTGGGGAAGAAGGAAGACCAATAGCTCTTACTCCTAGAGATGATTTTGTCATTTTATTCAGAAAAAAATATTCCTAGGAAAACCTGTCTCTATAGCCTTGGTCACAACTACCTCCTTCCACCCCCTGGTCCCAACTGGATGAGTTTTAGTAATTCAGTATTTTTAGCTGTACATACTTTCTTGGACTAAATAAAGATTCTTTTTTTAGTGAGGAATAATGAGAGGTGGGAATGAATAATCTCACATATGAAAATGAATTCTTTCCTCGGCCAAGTTTTAAAAGTTATGCTAAAGAAATAAAATGAAAAGCATTGTTTTATATCAAATTTTCTAGCTTATTAACTTACAAAGCTAAGTAATGAAACAAATGAATGTTGTATTTTATTAGTAGTACTTGACTTAGGAGGGAGATATTCTTGGTAGAGAACTACTAAATTGTGCATTATTAAACTGTGTGGTTGTCAGCTTGTTAGTATGAAGTAAGAACACTAAGATATAAATGAAAACTAAACATAAAACAAAAAGCCAACATCAACTGTTTTTAATTGACCTATGAACATTGAATATTAAATGGCATGTGCAATATTTTAGGAATGTCATGTTTTATTGTTTATTTAAATGTGCTTTTATTCCTGACACATACCAATCAAATTTCATCACAGATTAGAAAATGTACCTTCAGTACATGATTCTTATCTATAATGCATTATTTTCTCACACTCCTCAATAAATTAAAAAATTATTCCTTGCTTGATATGTAATTCAGTAAGCTTGCCAAAACTGGAATCACATATACAAATAATTTATCAGGAGCTGCAAAGAGGGACCATTGACTAAGAGCTCTTACTTCTCTTACAGAAGACAAGAGTTAATTCCTATCACCCATGTTGGGCAGCTTAACACCACCCATTACTCCAATTCCAGAGGATTTGACAGCATTTTCTGGCTTTCTTGGAGACCCATGCACACATAGAGACACACACACATACATAGATATAAATAAAAAAGAAAAGAACCTCATAGATTGGTGCCTAGCCGGTTTGTCATCAGAGAGGCTTCATCCGGTGACTGATGGAAACAGATGCAGACCCACAGCCAAACATCAGGTGGAGCTTGAAGAATCCTGCAGAAGAGGGGGAGAAAGGTTTGTAGGAAGTAGAGGGGTCAAGGACACCACAAGTAAACCCACAGAATCAACTAACCTGGGCTCATGGAGGCTCAAAGAGATTGAACTAGCAATCAGGGAGCCTGTATGAGACTGACATAAGCCCTCTGTGTATCTGTTACATTTGTATACCTTGGTTTCCTTGTGAGAGTCCTAACAGTGGGAGTAGGAACTATCTCTGACTCTTTTGCTGGCTTCCAGGACCCTACACCTCATGATGAGTTGCCTTGCCCAACCTTAATACATGGGGAGGAGCTTAGTCCTACTGCAACTTGATATGTCATGTTTTGTTGATATCTCCGGGAGGCCTGCCCTTTCCTATACAGAAATGGAGGAGTAGTGGATTGTGAAGTGGCAATGGAGATGGGTAGGAAGGGAGGAACTGGGAGGAAGGGAGGAAGAGGAAACTGCAACAGGGATGTAAAATAAATAAATAGATGATTAATTAAAAATAAGTAATTTGGAAGACTTTTTTCCTAAAAAGAAGAATATAATTTATTTAAATGTGATGATAAGATTCATGTTATAAAAATACATGCAGTAAAAATGCCACTTAAGAGGTGGATATGCTGGAATGATCCTTGAGAGTGTGAGGTCAAGGTGGCTCACTCAGATGAAATGTTTCCTCAGGAGACTTTTCAGTTGTAAATATAATATTAGCTATTACCAAGACCAAAGGCTTGATGTGATGGTAAACTTTAATTGAAGCAGGTTATTGTATTTATATCTTGCATGAACATATAATAAGATATGGGTGGTCAGATCTTACGGTGTGCAGATAGCTTCTTTAGGGCTAGGAATGTCCTAGAGAGTTATGGAAACTAAAGTACATGCAGTATATTTTTAATATAAAACTGTAGGCTTCCATCGTCCATCTTCACTGTCCTCTGACAACATTTCTGTCTTGTAATAGCAAATTCATAGCTAAATCAAGGACAGCCTTATTCCTAAAATACACATGAAATAAAAATAAAATAAGCCAAATAATTTGTTTGGTATGTTTTAAATTCATGTCATGGTAGTTTCTGTATAACTAAATAATGATATTTACATAATATTGTCTGATATGCTCATTGCTAGTGAGATTAGTCTTTCAGGGAGGTGACAGGGAAATGAACTGGGATTTGGAGAGGAAATCAAAAGTAGGATTTTGTCTGATAATATTCTCCCAGGAAACATTTGATTTACTACTGCTTTTCTATTTGAGGGTGTTCTGGGTCACCTAGGTTTCCATGCTTTGATAATGAACAGTTTCTCCTAATGCTACATTTAGGTATGTAGTGAAAAGTCAACACTGTTGTTCTACTGTGAGGATAAAAAGGACAGCAGCAATGTATTGCTAATAGTGAGGAGAGATGAGACTGGCAAAGATGGGGAAATTTATTTATCTTACATTTGAGATCATACTATAGTTATCCAATTTCTCCCTTCCCTTTCCTTCTTCCACACTGTCTCATATACTCTTCCTTGCTTTCTTTATGGTCTCTTTTTTCATTCAGTGTTGTTACACAAGGAACACAGAGTGAGAGAGATAGTCTTTCCTGGGGAAGATGATACCCACTGACTACACAACTACCAGTCAGTCCTGAAAACAAGCATACAAGGAACAATATACAGACAGAGCACATTGTATTCATGCATTTAAGAATATATAAAAACATGTAGAAACACAGATATATGTATGAAAAATGATGTTTTAAAAAATTTTCCCATAAGTGTTCAAAAGGAAAATGTTTCAGAGTAATTCGCCTTTTAGATGAAAAAGTGAACTTGAACCTTGGCCTGTGTCTCAGTCACTCTTCTATTGCTGTGAAATGACACCATGATAAAGACATCTCTTATAAAAGAAAGCACTTAATTGAGTGCTTGCTTACATTTTCAGAGGGTTAGTCCATTATAATCATGACTGGAAACATGGTGACACACAGACAGACAGCGTGCTGGAGAAGTAGCTGAAAGCATTACATGCTGACCTGCAGGCAGTAGGCAGAGAAAGATCCTGGGCCTGGCATGGGCTTTTAAAAATTCAAGTCTCAACCTGAGTACCACAGTTCTTTCAAAAAGGCCACACCTTCCAATTCTTCCCAAACAGTTCCACTAAGAAGTAATGAATCATTCAAACATATGTGCATATGAGCACCATTCTTATTCAAAGTATCACAGTCTTTGTCACACAAATTAAAACAAATCTGCTTAGCTATTAAGTTTAAAAGGACAGGTATACAGTTTAATGTTTATTATTGATTTGTCTTCTCATGAGCTAAGGAATACTAAAGTTTTTCATGTTTTAGTTCCGAATTTCTGCATTTTTAAAGTTTCTTAAGTGTCTTGTTTATAAAAGAAAATGTTATAATGTAATTTGATATTCTCTAACCAGAATAAACCATGTGAGCATTTGTGTTTCTAGTTCTTCCTTTTCTTGACCAATGGAGTAACTTCTTACCCACTAGGGTTTGAAGAGATAAAAGACAATTGTGGACTTTAGTGGAGTCTTCAGAAATACATGAAGGAAACCATACAGCATCATATTTGGGAATAGGATCCAAAAGCTGTGTGGCTTCAATCTATTTTCTTCATTCAGCCCCACCATTTGACTTGAAGTTTTGCATGGAGGAGATGTCAAGCTGGCATCTGAGTAGCTCATGAGCTGTTCATTTCTACTTTCTATTCGTTGTTTAGCTAACTGACCATCAAAACTCAGTGTGCAGTTGTAGGCCTGTTACAAGAACCTGAAAAGAGATCATTCACAGTCAGGCATTACTTACAGATCATTTGAAAGTATGAAGGATTAAACAAGGATGGAAAATGCATTTAGTATTTAATCTATGATTTATTAAAATTAGAAATCAAATGAGATTTGCACGGATCCTATGAAACAGACGCCAATTCTGCCAAGTAGATTAATGGAAAAATTGTCAAAAAAAATAATAACAACAACAAAACTCCAATTTTCACTTAATATATTGGTGTTTGGTTCTTCAAAATAAACTTTTTTTAATAAATGTAGAGATTAAACCAATCCATGTCACTATGTAAGAATTCATTTTGAATGCTGAAATAGACTCTACCACTAGAAGATTCAGTTTTATATTAAAAAATTCTGCATATATAATTCTCAATTGGCTCCCCTCCCCGAATTACCTATTTGAATGAAAAATTAGATTTCAAGCCTCTGAAAAATGAACCCTCAATGTTTAGTTTTCAGTGAGAAATGCTGAGCATTTGATATAGATAACAAATGGTCAACCATTTCTAATTTGCTGTGAAAGACAAAATTATATTTCCCCAGAAGTATTAAATACAATATGAAATAAGTTGCTACTTCAAATATATTTTATAGATTTTGATTTAGGCCCCCTTTTTGATGGAGGGAGAATCTTGAATCAGTGATATTCACCCACATCATCTCAAGTGAGTGATACCCACATCATAAAAAATTATGGTCCTTAGTATTACTGCTAAAGCACTAGTTGAAATGACTCACAGACCAATGCCTCATTCCACAAGCAGATGCTGGATGCATGCCTATGGGATTTTTAAAAAGAAAGAAAAACTACTCAATGAAAGTTAACACCTTGTTCTCTATTTATAAAGCTATAAATGATAATTATATGACACATGGAACTTGTCAATCTGCAAGGAATTTTGTTTTCTTTTTTAAATTAAATTTATTTTCATTAAATGTATTTGGATCATGTTTTTAATCTTCTCATGACCAAAGTCATTTAGATCTTTCCAATCTACCTACCTACCCAACTTCATGCTCTCTTTGAAAAAAAGAAAACAGAAAAAAATCAATAATCAAAGTCTAATCAAAGACAAAAATAGCCCATCATACCCCACTTGAAAAAAGGAAAAACACAAAAGCCCACAAAAAATGCAGTTCATTTTGCTGCAATAGTCAGTAAAGGGGCTGACTCAAGCCCCCAGGTAAACTGCAAGGTTGAAATGTCAGAGTTTTGAGGAGTGAAGATCTGAAAGAGTGAATGGAAAAAAGAAGACAGAGAAAAGAAAGCCATTTGGTCTTCTTTTCTCAGCAAGTTCAGGTTGCTCAATTAGAAATCACGTTTATGTTCAGTCAAGCAACAGAAATGGCTTCAGCTGGTTGGACTTTGAACTGCTGTTGCCTGGTCACTGAGAGGATATCTAAGTTTGTAATCATCAACATTAGTCACCTAAGATAAGTCAACCAGGCTCACCAGGCAAGAATAGGTTTCATTATGTTGAGGCTTTTCTCTAGACCCTAAGGCAAACATGGAAATTAGTAAAATATTATATTATTTTAATTTTATCTGGCGTCTTAGTCTATTTTTTTGGTTGCTATAATGCAATACTCAGATGTGCAGTTTGTAAAGAACAGAAGTGTATTGGGCTCATAGTTTTGGAGTCTGGGAAGTCAAAAAGAATGACTGTGTGTGTGGAAGATGAAGTGAGTGAGTGAGACAGAAGAGAGGCAGTGCTTGGAACAAACCCACTCTTGGGATGAGGACTATGGCCCAGTCACAAGAGCCTAGCCCCCAGATTCACACTATTCCTTTTGAAAATTAGCTTTAGTATTTATTTTTACTTAGTATACCCACTATTGGGTTTTAGAATGACATTTTTCATTCATGTGTGTCATTGTAATTTGTCTTCAATCATTTCCCATCCCCAGGACCCGTTCCCATCTTTCTCCCTTTAGCCAGTTCCCGTTGGCTCCTGTTAGTCTACATTTCTGTGCACTCTCTTTTAACATGTTATCCATCACCTCAGTTTTCAACCTTACATAACCTTTCTTCTTCCATTATCCTCTTTATAGTTTCATGACCTATAAACATGCACATATAGCATATGCATACGTAAGTACATAAGTAATTTTAATATGTTCTGTATATGAGAAAACATGCAGTATTTGCCTTTTGAGATCAATTTGTTTAATTTGCTTAACATTTTGACTTCCAGTTTTAATCACCTCCCCTCAAATATCATGTTTTCATTCTTATTTATAGCTGCACAGAAATACCTTTTTAATGTGTGCTACATTTTCCTTATTCATTCATCTGTTGATAGACATCTAGACATCTAGACTGATTCCTTTTGTGAATAGCATGTATGTAAAAGTCTTTCTGTGGCATATTAACTTAAAGTCTTTTGAATATATAACCAAAATTATAAATAACCTTTTTATTTTTAATTTTTATATGTATTGGTGTTTTGCCTGCATGTATGTCTATGTGAGGGTGTCAGGTCCTCTGGAACTGGAGATACAGATAGGTGTGTGCTGCCATTTGTGTTCTGGAAATTGAATGCAGGTCCTCTGGAAGAGCAGTTAGTGGTTGTTACCACTAAACCATCTCTCCAGTTCCAGTCCCCATTTTTTTAAACATGAGTATAGGTTTGTGTAATTTGGTATATAAGTGTGTGATGGATTTGCACATGTATGCATGTTCTATCCACATATGTAAAAGGCAAAAGAGGACATTGGGTGTCCCTCTCTATCATTCTTCACTTTATTATGATAGGGTCTCTCACTCTCAGGTGTTCAGATACTTCTGCCTCCACTGCCTCCCTCATCCCTGTATTGGGTTATAGACATGCAATGGCAAACTTATTAGCTGGATGCTGGAATCTAGACTAACCTTTCATCCTTATGCTTACAAAGCAAGCACTATTACCTACTGAGCCATCTCTCCAAGCTTCATAAACATAGTTCTAGTTTCAGTTTTGTGAGGATCCTCCATACTGACTTGCATAATTGTTGCACATGTTTGCATTCCTGCTATCACCAAATAGGTATTCTTCTTTTCAATGATCTCCAGCATTTGTCATTTAGTTTTGTGATAATAGTCATTCTGACTGGAGTAACAAAAGATCTTAAAGCAGTTTTAATTTGTATTTCCATGAGAGCTAAGATGTTAGACCTTTTAAACAGTACTGTTTGGCCATTTGTATCTCTTTTTCTGGCAACGGTCTACTGAGTTCATTTGTCCATGTGTTGATTCAGTGAAGTGGCTTTTGGTGTTCAGTTTCTACAGTTCTTTATACATCATGAATATTAACATTCTGCCTGATGTGTAATTGGTTAAGATATTCTCCCAATCTGTCAGCAGTCTCTTCACACTGGTGAGTGTTTGCTCTGTGGTGCAGAAATTTTCTTTGCTTCATGTAAAGCATTTGTCAATTTCCCCGATTATTTCCTGTGCTACTGGAATCTTCTTTGGAAAGTCCTTGCTTATCCTAAAAGGCCTTTTCTAGCAGTTTCAAAGTAGCATACCTTACATCAAGGTCTTGATCCAAATTAAAATTCCAACCTCTTTCTTCACAGAACTAGGAAAAAAAAATCCCCCAATTAATTTGGAAGTACAAAAAGCAGCTCTCAGTTAAAAGTTCAGCCTAAAATACTTAAACTAAAATTATATTTTAGAGATATCTTAAGAAAAATATGTTAATCACACAAAAATAGACTTATGGAATAGAAGAAAGCACCCAGAAATATGTTCACAGGTTTACCAGCTACAACCAAGGTAAGAGATATGGAGTACCTATGGAGCTGAAGTTACAGCATTTGTGAGACACTTGATGTAAATGAGGGGAATGGAAGTTAGGTCCTCTGCAAGAGGAGTGTACACTCTTGACGGCTTTGAGTAATCTCTCCACCCATACAACTATCTAATACTTTTTAAAAGCTGTCAAAAACACATTGGGGAGAAGAGAGTCTCATCTTTGAAAATAAAGTATTTTCTGGCCAGGCGGTGGTAGTGCATGCCTTTAATCTCAGCACTCGGGAGGTAGAGGCAGTCAGATCTTTGTGGGTTTGAGGCCAGCCTGGTCTACAGAGCAAGATCCAGGAAAGGCGCAAAGCTACACAGAGAAACCCTGTCTCAAAAAAACAAAAAATAAAATTAAAAATTAAAAATAAAGTATTTTTATTCTTTGAGAATTTTATAGAATTTTAATTATTTTCATTCCTGAGTCCTATCACATCAACCCCTTACCACCCCAACCCCTCTTGACTTCATGTCCTCTTTAGTATATATATATCTTTAGTATATATATATATCTCCAGCTGAGTTCTATTTGTGCTGCCATACACTTCAGGGTGTGTGGGGTATCAATTGGAGCATGTCCCACATTCTAGGGGAAACTCCCTTAATGAAAACTGACTTTCCCTCCCCTAGAAGTCATCAGCTTTCACTAGCTCTCCAGGTAGGGATAGGGGTTCATGACCCTCTCCCCTCTCCATTTTAGAACATTACTAATTTGGTCCTGCAAAAGCAACTACAGTTGCTCTGAGTTCATCGATGTAGCAGTCATGTCATGTCCAGGAGGTGTTTCTCCTTGATCCTCCTCAACCTCTGGCTCTTACAATCCTTCATCCCAGCTGTTCCTTGATGATCCCAGAACTTTAGTGGGTGGATGATATAGACGTCCTGTTGGGAGTTGAATGTTCCATGGGCATTTGTTTGCAGCTCTTCAATCAGTCATATGTTTCTGCATTAACAGAAATACAAAACACAGGGCTCCATCTCTGATGAGGAAAGGATAACCTACAAGAAACAGGCCTGGAAAACTGTATTTCCTTCCATATATAGATGAATGAAAGACGATTTATATGTTTCGCCTTCCACATAAAATCCACTCAAAATTCACCTCTTCTTAAAGGTTCCAACTCTTGGCTGTTACAATGACAAATCACATTATCAGTTTTCAAGGAGATATTTATTCCAAGGATTTGAGATGTATTTAACAAATTTTAAGATCTGGTTACGTGAATACAAAATATCCTCAAGTATTCAAAAATCCATAAGTCCATTTTAAATTTAAAAGTGGGCCATGTAAATATTCTGACCATTATTCTAAAATATAAATTTTTCTTTATTATATTGTATTATAGATGGCTTTTAAAATTAACCATTTAATGCAGATCATTCAAATTTTTTGAGAAACCATATTTTTAGCTCTCACACATCAATTTCTTTTGTGTAAAACACAAAAAAAACCTAATAAATTTTGCTTTTGGGTGGCAATCATTGTCTAGTTCCATAGAAAAATATGATATGGATTTCAAAAATATCTCTATGCTTATAATTTGATATAGTAAAATTTGTAAGAAGTTCAGTTCAGTTTCAAGTTCCTGGTTGTAAAATCCCCATAGTGGTAAAGATTCATGATCAGAGCCCGAGTATTCCCTTAAACCCAAAGCCATAGATAAAATATAAAATAAGTGAAACACTAGCTTTCTGAATATTGGGAATCAAATAAGGTAGGACAATGATGCCCAAAAGTTAACAAACAGACAAAGTCAGACTGCTGACTTGCCTAGCTTCTTGTATCTTTTAAGACTGTGGAATTAGAAGAGGTCTTAAGTTGAGCCTGAAGGTTTTCTTGAATTGAGGAAGAAAACCAGGAGCCCAGAGAAGATGAAGAGTCCAGAAGTCACAAAAACTCATACCTGAGAAGAGAAAGCTAGAACAGAAAAGATTATGGATACTTGCAAAATTTACAATCTTAGGCTGGGCATGGTTCTGCTAATGCTTATGAGGAAGCTCTCTGTGTTGGTTTCACTCAAAAAATTATAGGTAGAAGAGCCAGAAAGCACGCCATTCTAGAGAGTAATGCTGCTCATGTTAAACAGAGTAGAAAATCTCATAATTCAAAAGTCATCACATAAAATAGTCAAAAGACTTTGCTCAATGTCAGGACAAAATCAGCTCTAGATTAAAATTTGTTCTAAATCTGCTTGACAATGTTTAAAAGCAGTACTTGAAAATCTGAATCTATTTCCAAGCAACTTAATCATGTTCAGAAGAAAGCTCATCAATAGCTAGAGGACTATGAAAATCTTTAGTGTAAAACAATGCTAATAGTCAGTTTCTGGCATCCACCAAAAATAATTTTTAATATTATTTGAAAATGTTTTCTTAAATGCATCTAGTATGATTGTGTGTATGTGTGTGTGTGTGTGTGTGTGTGTGTGTGTGTGTGTTTGCATGTTTGTGTGTAGGTGCACATATGTCAAGCTTCCATGTAGAGATAGGAAGAATTCTTTCAGAAATTTTCTCCCAATGATCAAATTAAGGTCATCATGCTTGTGGAAGGTGCCTTTTTACCCACTGAGCCATATCTGTGGGCTAACTTTAGTACCTATTTAAAATACCCTCCCCAAATAGTTATGTCTGTTTATAATATACTGCTGTGAATACACCAACATGAATAAATACGGAAGCATAAATAGAAAAAAAGCTCCAAATCGCTTATCACTTTCAGATATGCTAAAATTCAAAACTGACATCTTTAGAGAACAGAATGTCAGTTAGACACTGTTTCAGACTTGTCAATGTAGTTGAGTTGGTTTAATTCTACCATATGAAGGGATAGTAATCAGTTCTAGTATTGACCACCCAAATGACCTTAAACTACTTCAGAGGCATACGTACCTGTTTTTTATATGACTTCCATTGTATCAACACCTGAAAAATTCTATGTTGGATAAAAAGATTTTTCTTTTCTTTCGAGGATCCGTTCTCTCAAAAGTTTGGATTCTGTTTGTAATTGGGATTCTTAGAACTCTTACTTGATATCAGTGCTGAGATTTTGAAGGGCAAGTTTGTATTTTCCTCATTTAATAATTGAATAATTGTTATATGCTCTCGCCCATCTCTTGGCAATCACTCTCTTCCTTGTCCTTGTGTGAAGAGTATTTACTCTTCCTCTTTATGCTACCACACTGCTACCACCAGCTGGTACAGGCAATCTAGGCAGCTACCCAGGGCTACTAAATTCATTGATCTTAGAGGAGGACCTAGTTTCCACTTTACTATATCAACATAATTCTTAACCATATTCTAAATATTTGTCCTCAAACCCACAGGAAAATGTAGTTCTCATTCTCACCAAGGAGACATCTCTCTCTTTAACTTTTAAAATTTTGTTTAGCAGAAAATTAAAATAGCCCAATAGTGAGTTATCCCAACTATAGACTTGGAAAAGTGCTTAGAAATGTGCTAGAGAGTTCTGGGGATATTGCTTTAGATAGTACCTGCCAAAAATGCCTTAACAAATGTTTGTTTTTTGCTTTTTGTGTTTTTATTTTACTATTTGGGAAATAAGTCAACATTTTCTTACACTCTTAATTTTTAATATGGCATGTGTCACCTAGGCATATTTATGAGTTTTCTTCTCTGCGAAAGACATGATCATCAGTGGAGATGGAAATGAAAAGGGTTAACTGATGATAAGACCCCATGATCAATTTGCCTCCAAATGAAGACATAAAAGTGGATACAGGCTTTACAAGGTGAAGGAGAAAATGAACTGGGTAAAATGTCTACCAGTGACATTCCTTTCATGAATTTCTAGTTCTTGAAGCTTCATTTAATTACAGTTCGCTTTTACTCCTATATTAAAAAGGGAGAAAGAGACAATATTCAAGCCCCCTCAGGAAGATATTCTCCAGTGACTCATGCTCAGTACCTTGCAATGATAATACTTTTTCTGTGAAACATTGAATAGGATAGAAACCAGACTGCATAGCACAGGGAAATCTCATCTGAAAAACACATGGAAGCTCATATTGCTTTCACACATTTTGTAGAAAGCAGATAACCCCAGGATTTTCTTTCATTTCTTATGAAACCTGACATTATTGGAGGAAGTTAGATAGAGCTTCGTAGTCTTTTTATTCTTTAATTATCCTAGTTTTGTTTGTGCACAAAGCTGATGAGAACCAGCATAGCTGAATCCCCACAGTACTGAAAGAAAGCAAAACCCAACAAGGTAGCCATTCTTACCCTTAGGAGCTTTAGTTGAGACAGAGACCCTTCTGAAATCACTGTCTCCTAAACATTCTAGGCTTTAGTGTTTAGGGTATCTGTTCCTCATGTTTTTTAAACAAAGCTTGATACATACATTTATGAACTCTTATGTAACATGGGCCTTTCAAGCTGAAATAATAGCTTCTGTCTTTATGTTGAAGGATGAGATTTGGTAGCACCAACATATCTTTCTAGCTTGAAGTTGACGAGTGTCCATTCTGTACACTTTGAACTTGCTTTCCATGTTCCCAGTTTTCACACTGCCTGTCCCTTTCATTTCTGCTGTCTGCTTGGCCCACTGTCTCAATTTTCAGCCTTGTCCTTAGGAGCTGATGTCACTGTCAGCAGGTCCCTTTTCTGATTCAACTTGTTGTGAAAGGTATGTTGCAGCTTAACATGTTTAAAGTGTATAAGCTCAAAATATTTTCTGATAAAGGTGAAAATTGAACGAAAGTGAAAATCCAAGTTTTGCAGTTCTTGTGTAAGCACAAACCAGATTTTAATAAGGGATGTCTGTTTTATGTTTTGGTATTAATTATAAGTTGTTTTTCATTTTTAATGCTGCATGCTACATGGGAGCCACCAGTTTTTATCTCCACATGCTTGCCAGGGTATTGTTAAACAGAGAAAGATTTCCTTATTGTTTTGTTCAGCCCTACACTGTGATTGGACACTATTTTTAGTAGTGGCTTCTGTTATTATTTTCCTGCTTGATCATATGTTCCTTGTTGTTGCCAATGATTAAAGAAAAAAAAATCAAAACAAAACTGCCTGCTGGTTTCTTGGAAACTAGTTCAATACAAATTTTACATCACATCCCACAAAACAGTATGCTCATTTTTGTTAATAGAATTTCATAGTATAACAGCGTAATGGAGGCCATTTTTCATTAGGAGGGCACTTTTGTTTTCTCATGTATTCTCTGTTGCTGTTGTGGAGGATGATGCTTCTTTAGAGAGAAATTATAGGATTCTGATGTCATGCCCTCAATGAGACTTTCCAGTTTTAGCATCTGTCCCCTTGGCACTTTTCCTGGTGTTGACAGTTGGGCAAGAAGACACCCCTGGGTTTTGTGAAGTGCTCCTGCTACAGATGGCAGGCATTTGCTTTTAAAGACTTTGTTTTAGCACTAACTCCCTTTTTAATCTCATGTATATATACATACATATATTGTGTTGAGCATTTTATGTAATAAAAATTATGCCACACATACAGAATAAGTATAAAATCACTTAATGTTGCTCATGATATATGGAATAAAAACTACAGATTTTGAATTTACAGAATTTGCCACTGTGGATCCTGTATCTGACTTGCCTGACTGAAAGTTAGGCACATTGCAAAAAGGACCAGGATGAAGCTCTTCAAGAGCTTGCTTTGATGTTTGGGATAAAATACCAGGGAGTTGAATATTTCACTCCATATAACATAAATTTCCAGAGAACCCTGTAGCTGGAATTAATTGTGAGACCATATTTCTTCTCTCTCTTTTGATAGTATTACATCAATGCATTTTGTGAAACACAGCTTTTTAAATATGATCTTAGAAAACACTTTCACGTTAGTGGTATTTATCTGTCGGTCTGTCTGTATCATCTATCTATCTCTCTGTCCATCTGTCTGTCTATCTGTTTATCTGTATATCTGCCTATCTATACATATGTATCTATATTATCATCATTAAAT